ATGTTTTATGCCTGCGACGTAGACGACGACGCAGCGTCAAATATGCACTACGCGCGTACTACTACTACTACTACTACTACTACTACTGCTACTACTACTACTACTACTACTACTACTACTACTACGACAAAAACTACTACTACAAAAACTACTGCTACTACTACTACTACTACTACTACTACTACAACTACTACTAATGCTACTGCTACTGCTGTGAAGGGACCTGCATTCCATAGCGCTGTAGAAATGACTTCAAGCATCAAGAAAGCAGCATGGGCCGGTTTCGCCGGCAATGCCTGCACGATTTTCAATTTCGCTGTAATGCCATTGGGTTGGCTGCTTCCCCATATCCTGGCCCTAATTGTGCGTCGGGGGGCTGACGCGGAGTTCACATGCCTTTGGGTAAGGCCGGATCCGGACTGTTTGTTAAATTGTCCTCGTTGCAAATTTGGTCTTGATTCATTGCTTCTGTCGCCGGCTGATGGAGATTCGTAGTTGGCAAACAGTTGAAAGAGCGTCAGGAGATGGAGAAGCAGACGCGAGCGATTGAGATGCTTGAGGCAGAGTGCGGAACTTATCACCAATTCAGCAGTTGCCCCTCGCCACTGCTTGCGACTGGGACGCGGGACGTGCATGAGGTTCGGGCCCATCGCAACACCAGTCTTCATTAGCAGTTGACACAGATTTTAGAGCCACGGCGGCGCTCCCATCATCTCCCTGCTGGGTCTCTGCAGGTGTCGATCCCAAGCGGGATCTCCCTGCAATCGTGGACGACTATTGCAAGGTCGTTTTTTCCAAACCGTTGTCCTGTTGTTCCAATGTTTCGTAAAGCTGTCGTTCGGCTTTTTGCACTTTCATGAAAGCTTTCCGAGAGGAGTTTCATCCACGAATTGTCGGCTTAACTGGTACGCCGGAACAAATCAAGAAGGCTGACCTGATGTTTGGTGTCCGACATTGTCCGACACACAATCCAACGGTAGCGCAGCACTGTTGCTGGACAGGTGAGCCGCCCTAGACTCAATTTCGAACTGTTGTGATTTTTCCTGGGTCGGGGAACTTTGCTCACACCAAGGTGCATACAGAGTCTACTACAATGAAGGCTTGAAGACAGATGATGCAGCCGCGACCTTGACAGTAAGCTTGGCTGACTTCTTCCATCTTCTTCCCATATCCCGTCAGCGGGTACTCGTAGTTAGATAGCCAGACTTGGATCAGCTTGCACGATGCTTGCTTCAACTCGATGCTTGTTGGCCAAGGATTACCTGGTCGACCACTCGATCATCCACTATTTCATCGGCAAGAACGGTAAATTTCTCGACTTTTTCGGAAAAAACATGACTGCAAAGGACGGCAGGGCGATGCTCCAGTGTTGTCATCAGTGTTGTCAGAGAGAGCCAGAGAGAGAGAGAGAGAGAGAGAGAGCGAGAGAGACAGAGCGGGTGAGGGGGGCTCGCCTCTCTCTCCCCCAGCCCTGACGAAAGCAAGACAGAGATACCGTTTGACTTGTCTGTGAGCCTTGGTCGGAGAAAACCATTTCCTCTCCCCTCAGCCTTGGCACTCTTCGTACAGCCAAGCCCTCGAGGAGGAAACCCCGTGGGGGGAAATACTTTCCCGCCAAGGAACTGCGGGTGCGTGAACTCGCACGGCGTGGCAGTTGGACCGTTGCTTCCGCCAAGCCCTGGGGTTTTTTCGGGGGGAAGGTGTTCACAAGATCAGTCAGGGGAACGCGAGTTTGCTCACCCCGAAAGGGGCCACTCCGACCTTTGGATCGCGGACCGTGGGGGGGTCGGCCTTCGGGCCAGGGGTCTCTTGACCCTAAACCCCAAGCAAGCAAGCAAGCAAAAGCGAGCCAATCACCGCAGGTTTCCACGCATTACGGGAAACATGCTAACCGCTTACTGAAGATTAGGTCATCTTTCTTCAAAGTATGTGAACCGTAAGCTGTTTTCGCAATCCTCTCAAAGCCCCATAACAGATGGGGGGCCGAATGTTGACCTATGTGCCGTTCTGTTTGATGTTTGACATGACTGCATGCTTGTGTAGTTGTCGTAGAAGCATCTGTAGAGGAAGGCATGGAGCCTTGTTGAGCGAGCTGGCTACCTTGCAGTTGTCGACTTGAAACAGGGAATCCCTTGTAGACCTTCGGTGGGCTGTCGAGCATCGCGCGGAGGGAGGTAATTTTTCACGCCGACGGCCGATTCCAAGGGGTTGTGTCGGGTTGTGGATGGAGACCTACCCGCAAAGGGTTGGGGTAGGTGTGAGCGAAAAACGGCGGCCATGCCTGCGCAGGAGATGGCCGACAAGATGAGAGGGTACATTCGGCAGGACCACCCGACCTGTTTGAACTCATGTTTCGTGCAGGCGGGCCACCCCTTTCGAACCACCGATTGACAGCTGTGGCCAAGGATCAAGAGAGCACGAAGCAGCGAAAGCAGCGCCGAGGCGTAGAAAGCACAGACGAGGTGCACAACAGCACGTTGAATTGCATCCTGAGCAACTTTAGTCTTGAGTTGTTTTGCAGTTGCATGTGTTTTCAAGTTCGTGTGGAACACAAGAGCCGCGTTTGAGCAGAGCGCCTGCGGCATCTTGCGGCATCATAAGACTTTGAGCCGGCCAGGAATGAACTCGTTCTCTCAGAGTGCGGCAATCTGGTGATCCAGCACTGTCCGTCACGAGATCGCAATCTATGTCTGTGCAGCTGACGGCTTGGCTGCTCTGTGGCCGGACTTGTCCCCTTGAGGGATTCCTCTACTCGTAGTATGCGCGCAAGGTCATACGGACGTGTTTGCATGAGGTTTTCTTGGATTGGTCTTCGGGCGAGGCTTTAGGCATCTTTAGGCTGTGCTGCGAAAATACTGATTCGTTACTACGTACTACATTCGACAGACTACATACTACTACCTACGAAGCAACCTGCTTCCCGTTGCGTACGTCCTCCTCCTCCAAGTCCTACCATCATGTATCCGTGACGATGCGGACCTTCGTGCTGCAAGTCCGCGCGCACAGAACATCGTGGGCACAAAGCTAGACGCGTGGTATCGCGTGGTGTTTGAAGTGTCCTTCCACAGACCCCAATCTCCCCAGAGAACCTCCAGGACTCCAGGGACGTGCTGTGATAGTGCTTTTGATCTGCATCAACCCGGAACATCCCAGAGCTTCCGAGCGCGACGTGGGGAGGAGTTCAAGCCTAGGCTTCGCCATGAGCTGTTCTTGTGTTTTCCTGCTTTGCCATGGCGACGTGAACGCGGTCCAGCACTCGGACCATGTTGGGGGCTCCCCAGCTGGAGGCCCCGGAGAAAGACCTGCGCAAGGGCCAGCGGGCCGGGATCACTTGGAAGGTGGTGGTCATCAGCGTTCCCATCCAAGCCCTGGCCTTCACAGATTCCAGAGACCGCTGGTACGGCTTCGCAGCCGAGCGGAACGACCTGCTGCGGTACGTTGAGATGCAGCAGATCAAGAACGTGGTCTTCGTCTCGACCGATGTCCACGGCACCTTCGTGAGCGACATTGCATGGCATCGAATGGCTACATCCCCCCCACGATGCCGCCCAACGAGACCGTCCTGTCTGCTCACCGGTCCTGGAAAAACCTGCCCGTCCGCGCAAATCCTCTGGTGGCACGCGGGTGTCTCCATTTTTCCGGTGCAGCAGCAGCATCCGTGGCGCAAGCAGTAAAATTTTCCATCCACGGTCCTGGTTTCTGCCGCCAGCCGGAACGTCCTAAGCGCTCTGAGCGCCCCTCGCATATGGTCGCAGGCATTGATTGCAAAGTTGGGATTCGCACCTGCAGTTCTGCCTCCAAGTACACCCCATCCAAGGCTGCGAGCGAAGTTCTTGCCTCGGCCCGGGTGCCGTGGACGCCGCTCTGCGGCCCGGCACCCGGCACGTCGGAAGAGGTGTTTCCCCACCGTTTCCTCGCCGCGACTTCGGCCTCGCCCGCGACTTCGGCCTCGCCCGCGGCCACGCCGCACGCCCTCTTCTCCCACGCCCATGTGCCGCATTCTGCTGCGGGCGCTCCGGCAGCTCATTCCCTGACCTCCGGCCCACGTCAGGGTCCCGCCGCTGGGATGGTTGCGGAAACAATTCCTGCTGTGCTGGTTGCGGCTGCAATTGTTGCTCTGGCTGCTGTTGTGGCTGGCCTGACGGCCGCGGCAACCATGCATCTCTGCGAAAAGCCTCTGCCAAACGCGTGGCTGCATTAGTCACTGGGAAGCCACCAAACACTTGCAACACAGCTTCCTGCGTTGGCGCCACGATGTAACCATAAGCCGCCATGGTGGCCCGCACGATGCACCCGCGTTCCCGCCGGGAGGGCTCGGACAGTCTGCCCCAACCGCTCGAAATAGAAGGCATCCGCATGCTCATTGAGTACATGCTGTTGCGCCACAACATCCAGAAAAAAATCTGCATCTGTCGGTGGGGCGGCTCGGGGCTGTTGCACCAATGCCGCCCAAATTGCTGATGCCACCGGATGCTCTGCCCACTGCCTCGCCGCTTCCTGGTGCAAATTCTTGGGCTGCATCCAATAGGAGTGGCACATACAACCAAGAGTTGGGACCTTCAGGTACTCCATGTTGGGGCGGGTGGTACAATCCCCTAAATCAAGTTCAAGCGTCAGACAGATCACAGGGTCCACCATCTGCCCGGACACCAGGTGTGAGAGCCCAGCGCTAATGCCCTTCAGCGCTGTCTGCGCTGACTGCGGTCCGCCACCGTAAGTGTCCTTCAAACCGTTGTAGGCCACAGAGAACTGCGCAGAGCCAAGCCGTTCCTCGGCTATCTGCTCCGCCGCGTCCCTTTCGGACGGTTTGGCCATCCATCACCAATCCCTGCTTAAGCCTTTCTTGATATTCCTCCAACGTCTCATCTTCAACATCGATGGGAGCGAGGAACGTCGTAACCAGCTCGGCGAGGGAAGCGCCTTCCTCCGCCTCTACTTCCTCGACCTCTTCGGCCGGCTCAGCTCCGTGGAGCAACAGGATCCTCACGGGCTGCAGTGAGTCCCGGATCGGATCCACTCGTTCTCGGGGGTTCAGCCCGTGGAGGTGAGGCTTGCTGGGATGGCGGGTCGCTTGAACCCGCTGCCGCCTCAGCAGCGATGACCGCTGATGATGTCAAAGCACCGCGCGTTCTTGGGGCTCCACCGCATGGTAGAGCTCAGCAGCCTCCTGGGAGTTGAGCCTTATGGGCCTCGGGATCCCAACACGGACCGGAACTGCTGGAACCGCGTCATCCCTCGGGACATCAAGTCCGGGCGAATCTCAAGCGAGAGGCTTCTGCCCAACTCCATCCTCCGAACTCTCGCTCAGGGGGAGCATCGGGGACCTCGACGCCGACGGGCGTCGGAGCAGCGGCTGCGCTGCTGGATGCTGCCATGCTGCTCGAAGTCTAGTTCCCAGAACAGCCCCCAACTGGAAAGTAGGAAGGGTTCCGCTCTGAAGGGACCCCTGCTCCTAAACACTAAGGGAACGAACTCTCTCTCAGCAGCAACAACCAGCACTCCTGTTGTTGTCCTCGCGCACTGCGCGGTTGTGTCACGGAGCGTCGCTCAACGTGAAGTTCGCGGTATTTCACCCGGAGGAGGGCCTTGCTCGCTCTATGGCCGGCCTAGCTAGTCAGCTAGTCTAACTCCAGCCCTCTCCGAGGTACTCACGCCTGATGCCCGCGCTTTTCACGGGACTTGAGCCAAACCGCATTGTTAGGCAAGGTCGCAAATGACCTGAGAAACGAGTGAAAGTACGCAGCACTGCAAAGGAAGCTACAAAGCTACTCCTAAGCAGTAGGGGTTAGCCATTACCAGATGAATCCTACCCTCTCTCAGAAAATCTTGCGAAACTTTAGAGAATGTCGTGAATTCTGAGAACATTTCCGCGACTGTAGAAAACTCACCAAAACGTAGGCATCTTTGGAGATCTAGGGCCAAGGAGATCCGGCAAAATCCAGGAAAAGAGACGTTGGGGGGAAATCCAAAAACACCACAGCAGATCCCAGGCAATCCCAGAAAGCTTAAGAAATCCATGCAGATCTTGGCGAATCCTTGGAACTCTGACGGTCCAGAAATCCGAAGAGATTTAAGGAATTCCAGTAAATCCAGCTGCAGTGGCTGTTTCCGACCCGCACCCTCTGGAAAACGCGGGGCTCTGGAATGGCCTTAGGGACAGAGTGTCACGCTCTGGGGGGTCAGACTCTAGGATTCAAGGCTTACTGGAGTCTTGGACATTCCGGCCTAATGTTGGTGTCCATTTAATAACCCCCCCCCCCCGGAAGTTGTTTTGCACGGGGGTCTCTTGGGGCAGGGTTTGGGTGGGAAGGTGGCAATAATAAATCTGTTTCCGTGTCTGGGTTCGTAGTAGCAGCAGTATTAATTAGTCGAGCAATATTAGTAAATAGCTAATAGTACGAATAGTACTAACCGTCTGGGTCGCTCTGTACTCCCTCTGTCGCTTCTTGACTGATGTAAGCGGAAAGCCTGCAGCGGCCATTTGCTTTTCCTTGCTAAAGAGTCTTCTCAAGCAAAGCAATGCTACCGGGACCCCCCGCCCAAGCGGAGTTTATTATTGTCACCCCTTTAATTAATGCGACCCGGAGGGCTCGTAA